ATAATTCTTTGCTTTTGTTTCTTCTTTTCCAGATTCATCTCTACTTAAGACTTTGGAAATACATTCAACCATAATTGGTTATTTTTACGAAAAAAACATTAAAAATTCGTAAAAATCTCTGTTAACTCCTAACTTTGTTTATAATAATTCAAATAACATTTCAAATCTAGCCTTTTACAGGAAAAAAATATACATTGTTAGACAATGCCTTGAATTCACAGGTTTTAAATAATAATAATAGTCTTAAATTGTACAAAAGTTTTATTATTCAGAACATAATTATTATTCTATAAAAAATTAATTATTTAATGTAATTTTTGTATAATTTTATCATTGAAACTAAAAAGTTGAAATGTTATCAACAACATTCTTGTATTTTCAAAAGTGGTAATTTAACGACCCAAAGTTGTCAACGTGCAAAAACGCAGGTGTAGTTTTAATATATTTTTTTGCAAAGTACTAGCACTTGCATTGGTAGGCTAAAAGTCGCTATAAATCCTTTCAAAAGATCACCGAATTGACTTGATAAAAGAACAAATAATAAAGATATTATGTATCACACTAAGTTGTTTATTAAAATACAGCTAATTAAAAAAAAAAAAAAAAAAAAAAATTGAAATTTCGTTTAAAATGTCAATACTACAGATAGCCCGGCAATTTTAAGGATACAGTAAATTATTATTTTAGAGTAAATTATCATGAATTTTGTAAGAAAACTTACAGCACCCTATAGAATTTTCTGTCACGTTTTAAATTTAACACCATTGCAGTTATTTTAGTGGATTACTATGACTCATTAAACAATTTTGGCAGTTAAATTTTATGGAACAAGATCTAAGTAGCGTAAAAATGATCGATTTCATTAAAGTTGTTAAACTATTTCACTTTTTGCTCAAGGTTGATTTTTGCTTTTCTACGACCATTTTGCAGGGTCCAATAGGCACATTTCCCTGCTATTATTTCTGTAGTAAAATTACTATTATTTTTTTAAATAATTTTTTGCGATTCTTTCCAAGTCCCTCATAGTCAGATAAGACAAAATCTTCCAAGTAATGTGATAGTCCAACGTGTAAATCTTCATTGGTATCAAAATATCTTGCAGAGCCCAGTTCAAACAATCTTTTGCAACATCCATTAACTGTCTCTTTTCGATTGCCAAATCGAGGCGAGTTTTAATCGCATATTCGTAATACTCAAGCACAGTTTTATTGTCAAGGGCTGAGAAAATTTTTTGGCATGCGTCAAGATAATCTGGATTATTCAGCAGTTCGATGAGAGAATCTAGTGGCATCATGAGTAAATCAAACATTGATTTAATACCAATTTTTTTTTCTTTCAGTTCATCTAATTTACTGTTGCAAGAAGTGAGAATATTTTCCGATTTACTATCCAACTTGAAAAGTCCCTTCAATGGGATTAATTCCTCATACAAAGTATTCAAACGTAAGTCAATGGCAAAGTAAAATATTAACAACTCCAGGAGTTTTTTTGGACCATAGTTGCCTGTAAAAAATTCATGTATAGTCTGTTTCATGATGTAACAAAACGTTAAGTAATCTTTGAATTCCCAGAATAGACATATCATGCTCAATTTCTGTTCGGTCCATAACCCTATTGCTAAAAAAAGCTTGCCATGGTACCTGTCAATAAAAAGTATTGCTTGTAACATCGTGTTATTTATTTTATTACGAAAGATATACTACGTAACCATTGGTTAATTGACAAACCTGTTGGTTCTAAGACCAGCCTTTAACAGCATCTTAATGATATTATAGTTGTTTTTATCAACAGCTGCAAACAAGGCAACGTTGACATCTTCACAACAGTAATTTTTGCTTTCCAGGGGAAGCCTATCTATTTCGAGTAGGCGATCAACTAGTTGCTCGTTTGATATTGCGATAGCAATGATGAGTTCGTGTAGCTTCAGTACACTCTCATCGTAGCCAGGAGTTAAAATATAAGTTAGATTTTTAACTGCTACTGGAACTTCTGACACAATTTCTTCAAAATTATCTTGTGTCACATGAACTCCTGTGATTTTGGCCAGCATCATCTTTACCTCATTCTTCGTTGCTGACATGTTTTTGTACAACATAGCCACAGCTTTATAAAATGGTGTTTCATCGAGAAAATTATGCGCACGCAAATTGGCTCCTAAAATAAAATGTGGAACTCATTTTTTAGTTAAAACTGCTCAAATTATCTCCAGTTATACAGGGTTCTAAGTACATGCAAATAAAATGATGAAGTTATTAAACAGTAACTCATCTTACTGATAAAGTACCTATTTGTCTTTGCATCGTTGTCTTGTCAGTAAATATGATAAGACGTTAATACAGAGACGCTTGACCATGTAAATGTCAAATTGAAAAGTTTTCCGACAGTTCAAAAAATAAAGTCAACAAAATTAAAAAAAAAAAAATTTTTTAAATTTTGATGATTCCAAATTAGGGCTTATTCCGCTCTATCTTTATTATTTACGGAGATACGGCCAATTTAGGTTTTGACCATCTGTAAAAACCAAAATCTCAGACTTTGAGCGTTATCACGGGTTTGTGTATATTAAGTATAATGTTCTAAACTGCTTTGACACTTTATTTTTACAATTTAATAATTTTTTGTGTAGTTGCAAGGGCCTAATTAAAAAAAAAAAAAAAAAAAAAATTTTTT